ATATGGATATGTCATGATAAAATACAGGTCAAGTTCAAATTTGGTCATGGTTCAATGATTTTTGGCAGAGTTATGCACCTTTTACTTTGAAAATAATATGAAATTTTCAGTTTCTGTTTATTATCTCCCCACCGGTACAACACATTCAACTCAGATATGTTTTTGGAATGCCCAGGCCAATTTCGAATTTGGTCATGGTTCAATGATTTTTGGCAGAGTAAAGCCCCTTTCACTTTGAAAATAATATGAAATTTGCAGTTTCTGTTCATTATCTACCCAACAGTGATACATATTCAACTCAAATTTGACATATGGATATGTCAAAGGAATGGGCAGGTTAAGTTGGAATTTGGTCATGGTTCGATGATTTTTTGGCAGAGGGGGCATCCGTGGCATGATGACACATTTCTAGTTTTCTTCTGTAATACACATGGGGATATTTTAAAAAAAGATTCATACTTTGACAAAACTAATGTGACAAGACACACGGATTAAATTTATCAAAAGGAAACGTTAAGATTTGTTCAAACGTTTCATTATTTGCTTTTAAAAAAAGTAAAAAGTCTAGCGTTGCCCCGGTGGTGTTTCTTGTTAATTTTATCAATTGTCAGTTTACAAAACAATTTACCTGTGCTTAACACTTTATCAATATTGAATAAAGCCATCATTAGCTTATAACATTTACTGTTACTATTACTAATATATCTTTTAAACCATTTTATCTTTACAGAATGTATATAACTGTCAATATCAATCATATTTAGACCACCTTCCTTATTTGTTTTGATAACTACTGATTGCTTTATTTTTGCTATACCTTTCCATATAAAATTATAAAATAAGTCATTAATACTGAATTAGGTGTTGGTAAACTTGTAAAACAATGAGTAAATAAAGGATGGAGTATTGACTTAACAACAGTAATTTTTATGCCCCCGGGCATATAGAAATTGAACTGTCTGTCCGTCTGTCCGTCCGCACTCGCAGGAGAGTAATTATGTGGTTAGAGGGACAATAGGTAACTGTTCTTTCTCTTTGATGTCATTCATTCCGTAATGCTTTTATGTGGCTATTTTCTTTTGTGTGGCTAAAAAGAACAATAGAGAGAACAATAGAGTAGCCACATAATTACTCTCCTGTTAGAACGTCCGTCCGTCTGTCCGTACAAGGTTAACTTAGAATGGCAAGTTGGATTTTTCTTAAGTTTTACCTGTACCAATGGCTTCTTAGTTTACACACTTACTAATCAATACAAAGTACATGATCTGGGCAAGTTACATAAAACATGGCTTTCATATTTACCAAGTTATTGCCCTTTTCAGCACATAGAAAATGAATAATGGTTAACGTAAAACGGCAAGTTGGAAATATCTCAAGTTCTATCTATACTAATGGCTTTATAATTTCCACACTTACTTATCAATACAAAGCACATGATATTGCCAAGTTATATAACTGTGTCATCCATATTTCCCAGTAATTTCCCTTTTTTCACTTTGAAAATAGGGCCTTGTCTGGTTAACCTATTTCGTCAAGTTGGATTTATCTTAAATTTCTCCTAATTGCTTAATTTCTTCAATGATATCTTTCATATTTAGTAGGTGGATACCTTTGATGGTCCTCTAATTTTTTGTGGAGTAAGTGGTCTCTAGGGTCAAGGTCACTGGTTTAAAAAATAAATATAAACATTTTTGCTCATACAGCCTTTATTTTTAGTTGATGTCTTAGTTTAATACAAACATGCCAAGGGAGGTCCTCCTTCTTTGGGTGTAGTAAGGGGTCATTTGGGTCAATGTCAATGTTACCAATGTCAAGGTCACCAATGTTAAAAATAGATTTTTACATTTTTACAGGTGTATTAACCTTATTCTATAGACAGATGTTATTTATAATTGATAGAAACATAAAATTTGATGGAGTTAGTGGTCAGTTGAGTCAAGGTCACCAGTGCTAAAAATAGATTTTTACACATTTGCTCATAGAGCCTTTAGTAAGTGACAGATATATTTTATATTTGGTAGGAAGATAACTTACATGGTATTCATCCTTTTGATTGGGGTAGGGATCAGTGGGTCAAGGTCACTTGTGGTAAAAATAGATTTTTACACTTTTGTCCATACAGCTTTTATTTATGGACAGATGTATTTCATATTTGGTAGGAAGATAACTTGCATGGTATTCTTCCTTTGGATGGAGTTAGGGGGTCAGTTGGGTCAAGGTCACCAGTGGTAAAAATAGATTTTTACACTTTTGCCCATACAGCCTTTATTTATTGACAGATGTATTTCATATTTGGTAGGAAGATAACTTACATGGTATTCTTCTTTTGGATAGAGTTAGGGGTCAGTTTGGTCAAGGTCACCAGTGCTCAAAATAGATTTTTACACTTTTGCCCATACAGCCTTTATTTAATGACAGATGTATTTCATATTTGGTAGGAAGATAACTTACATGGTATTCTTCCTTTGGATAGAGTTAGGGGTCAGTTTGGTCAAGGTCACCAGTGCTCAAAATAGATTTTTACACTTTTGCCCATACAGCCTTTATTTAATGACAGATGTATTTCATATTTGGTAGGAAGATAACTTGCATGAAGTTGAATATTTTTCAACTTCACAAGTCAGAGCAATGACTTGGCAACTTATATTTTTCACAATTACAAAATGCCATGACTTTGTCAAGCTATATAACTTGTGTTTACAATTTTTTGGCAATTTTTCTGTCCATAACTGAGTGAAACTGAGCCGGGGGCATTTGTGTTTAACAAACAAATTCTTGTTCCTATTGGTGTTAACATTCTTTTTCTCAGTATCCTATACTATTTTTAACTTTCTGAAGCTTTTCATTAAAGTTTAACTCTATCATTTTTTCTAAATCAACATATATCAAACCTAACAATTTAAACTGTGTATCACCCCATGTCAGTTTCCATTTTGTCTTAATAGATCTTGTACTGTATTTAAGAGAGCCTATAATCCGAATAACTTTAGTTTTGTCAAAATTTACTTTTAATCCTGAAATTTCTGAAAACATATTTAATAACTTTAAAACAGTATTAAGAGACTTTTCTGATCCATCTAGCAAAAGTAAAGTATCATCAGCAAATTGTGTAATTTGATATTCCTCCCCATCTATATTTATACCTTTAACATCTTTACATTGTCTTATTTTTATTGCTAAAATCTCTGCACAGGGGAAATAGGATCGCCTTGTCTATAACCTTGTTTAACTTTGAAAAAATTTGATAAAAATCCATTTAAGATAACACAAGTTTCAGTATTATATATATATTATGTACACCTTACTTTTATGTGTATACTCCTTATAATGATACCCATTATTAAACTGGTTAAGGTGGAAAAACTTCATATGTTTGAAAATTATCTGTGTTGCTTTAATATCTATGTAAAATTTTACAAAAAATAGTTTATGATGAAAATCTATAAGATTAAAACATTCGTAGTGGCATATGTCATAATAAATAGAGATATTTTCTGCGTAAACATGTAAACAGGCTCAATCAAACAACAGAGCCTGCAACATTTTCAATTTTGCCGTGTTGGGCTTTCTTTAGGGATTCTTATTTCTCTCCATTTTACTTCATGTTTTGCACAGAATTACTCATACAATGGTTGTTTAATCTAATCTCCCCCCCCCCTCCCCAACATCCCCCCAAGCACACAGGTAAACCATTTAACTTGTTTTGAGTTTGTAACAGTTTATGAGGGCAATACAGAGAAATATCGTATTATTATTTTTTTACTACTGTTACAGGAAGACTGGGATTTCCTACAGTTACAGGTGGCGCTGCTATATAACAGTGAAACTTCTGGAATACCGTTACATATGCAGGTATTGTGTTTAATGCTGGTTAATGTATTTTGCTCTTACACACATATTGGTTGCCTCTTAAAATTGAACCAAATAGCTTAAGTTAACGAACACCACTGAACCAAGGAATGAGTTCCCTAACTAAGTTAGACCTAAATATGCCATTGTTTGATATTAAAAAAAAGTCTCTCATAAATTTGGATATTGAACATTTATTTCTGATAGGCAGAGTGCAGTGGTCTTCAGTGACTTTATACTTTGTCATTTGTAAAAAAATAAATTGTTACTGCTCATGCTCTTTGGTAATTATTAGGGCCGGGAATTATATTCGAATATTCGAAACACTACCGAATATTCGAACATTGAAAAACGAATACGAATATTCGAAAAAAAGAGTGTTTTTTTTTGTAATTACTTTCAAATTTCAATTAAGATAGCAAATTAAACCATTGACCTTTACTTGACCAGTTGTTCACACGTTTGTATGACACGTGTCAACGATTATCGCCAATTAACTGTGAAAACTTTGGGGTCTATAGTTGATCAAAAGGGCATTGTCTTATTTTTATTGCTAAAATCTCTGCACAGGGGAAATAGGATCGCCTTGTCTATAACCTTGTTTAACTTTGAAAAAATTTGATAAAAATCCATTTAAGATAACACAAGTTTCAGTATTATATATATATTATGTACACCTTACTTTTATGTGTATACTCCTTATAATGATACCCATTATTAAACTGTTTAAGGTGGAAAAACTTCATATGTTTGAAAATTATCTGTGTTGCTTTAATATCTATGTAAAATTTTACAAAAAATAGTTTATGATGAAAATCTATAAGATTAAAACATTCGTAGTGGCATATGTCATAATAAATAGAGATATTTTCTGCGTAAACATGTAAACAGGCTCAATCAAACAACAGAGCCTGCAACATTTTCAATTTTGCCGTGTTGGGCTTTCTTTAGGGATTCTTATTTCTCTCCATTTTACTTCATGTTTTGCACAGAATTACTCATACAATGGTTGTTTAATCTAATCTCCCCCCCCCCTCCCCAACATCCCCCCAAGCACACAGGTAAACCATTTAACTTGTTTTGAGTTTGTAACAGTTTATGAGGGCAATACAGAGAAATATCGTATTATTATTTTTTTACTACTGTTACAGGAAGACTGGGATTTCCTACAGTTACAGGTGGCGCTGCTATATAACAGTGAAACTTCTGGAATACCGTTACATATGCAGGTATTGTGTTTAATGCTGGTTAATGTATTTTGCTCTTACACACATATTGGTTGCCTCTTAAAATTGAACCAATAAGCTTAAGTTAACGAACACCACTGAACCAAGGAATGAGTTCCCTAACTAAGTTAGACCTAAATATGCCATTGTTTGATATTAAAAAAAGTCTCTCATAAATTTGGATATTGAACATTTATTTCTGATAGGCAGAGTGCAGTGGTCTTCAGTGACTTTATACTTTGTCATTTGTAAAAAAATAAATTGTTACTGCTCATGCTCTTTGGTAATTATGCCCCAAAAGGGTGGCATATTAAGATTGAACCGTCCGTCTGTCTGTCAGTCTGTCTGTCTGTCAGTCTGTCAGTCTGTCCGGCTTTATACATATAGACAGTGGTGGTCGTGTCCGCTCTGAAACTTCAGTATGCATGAAAGGATTTTAATTTTTATGCCACAACAGCATCTGTGATGCGGTGGTATATAGCTATTCACCAATGTGTGTGTTTGTATGTATGTTTGTGTGTTCAATAGATTATATAGTGAACTTAAAAAATCTTCTTGTAAAAAACCACTAGTCCAAACCAAACTTGGCAGGATTGATCCTTGGGTGAAGGGCATCCAAAGTCGTTCAAAGAATTTCATTCCATGCAGAAATCTGGTTGCCATGGCAACCAAAAGGAATTATAAGAATAAATTAAAAAAATCTACTTGTAGAAACCCAAAAGGCCTAGAGCTTAGATATTTTTTGCATAATACATTGTCTGTTAGACCTCTACCAAGATTGTTAAAATTATAGCCCTGGGGTCAAAATCGGCCCCGCCCCGGGGGTTATTGATTTTCACTATATGTACATATAGTAAAAACTTAAAATACCTTCTTGTTTGAAGGTACAAGGCTTAGAGGTTTGATATTTGGTATGTGATATTATTTATAGGTACTCTACCAAAGTTGTTGAAATTTTGCCTCTAGTGTCAAACTCAGCCCCGCCCCAGGGGTCATAGGTTTTCCTTATATGTATATAGTAAAAACTTTAAAACATTTTCTTCTTGAAATTGACAAATGCTAGAGGTTAGATATTTTGCATGAAACATTGTGTAGTGAACCTCTTACAAGAGTGTTCAAATTATAGCTCTGGGGTCAAAATTTTTACTCCACCCCGGGGGTCATTGATTTTCACGATATGTACATAAAGTAAAAAATCAAAAAATCTTATTGTGTAGTCCTCTAGCAAGATTGTACAAATTATAGCCCTGGGGTCAAAATTGGCCCCAACCCTGGGGGGTCATTGATTTACACATTGTACAAAAAGTAAAAAATTAAATATTCTTTTTTTCTGAAGGTACAAGGCATAGATTCTTGATGTTTGCTTTATAATATCATCTATAGGTCGTCTACCAAAGTTGTTCAAATTTTTCCCTTGGTTTCAAAATTGGCCCTGCCCGGGGGCATTTTTTCTCATTATGTACACATAGTAAAAACAGAAACTAAAACAAATGTTTTCTGAATTGGAGAAAGCTACAGCTTAGATATTTGACATGAAATGTTCTTCAGTTGGGTCAAGGTCAACAGTGCTAAAAATAGATTTTTACACTTTTGCCCATACAGCCTTTATATATTGACAGATTTATTTCATATTTGGTAGGAAAATAAGTTGCATGATATTCTTCCTTTGAATGTAGTTAGGGGTCAGTTGGGTCAAGGTTACCAGTGCTAAAAATAGATTTTTTACACTTTTGCCCATACAGCCTTTATTTATTGACAGATTTATTTCATATTTGGTGGAAAAATTACTTGCATGATATTCTTCCTGTTGATAGAGGTAGGGGTCAGTTGGTCAAGGTCAAGGGTGCCAATTACAGATTTCTACACATGATTGGTTTTCTTCCATACAAATTAGCTACTTCACTCTCTAAAGTTAAATTATTGACAACAGTGAGCGCGGGGGCATTTTTGTTCATCAAACACAGATTCTTGTTTTTAATTGAACTTTGATATTAGGTGGCCTAGATTTTGATGATGTGACCTACTTTTTTGTCCTGTGATGTACAGCTATGAAATTTGAACCATGTGCACAGATTAAAATGTAAAGTGAACTTTAATATTAGCTGACCTAGAGTTTGACAAAGTGTCTTACTGTATTGTCCTTTGATGTAGTCATGAAATTTAGGCTGTGTGAAATATGACATTCACCACCAAATTCACTAGACTCAACTGCATTGATATATTCCTACTTTGATCTTTTATTGGATTAACAATAGATTTAATTACTAATCTGATAATAAGAATTAGATAGGTAAGGGATGCATTTTGACAATCTTCAATTGTATTGATTGTATAAAAAACAAACAAAAAAAATCTGTTGCTACATTACTATTTAGTGTCGTATTAATGCTGTGGCATAGCATTTTTCCCATGTTTCATATATGAAATAACCATAGATATATGGTGTGTCGCGAACAAGACTTGGGTTCCTACAACTGAGGTCAAGGTCACTGTGGGGATTCACTTGGGTGAAGGGCTTCCAAAGTTCTTCAAAGAATTTCATTCCATGCAGAAATCTGGTTGCCATGTCAACCAAAAGGAATTATAAGAATAAATTAAAAAAAATCTTCTTGTAAAGACCCACAAGGCCTAGAGCATAGATATTTTTCATAAGGCATTGTCTGTTAGACCTCTACCAAGATTGTTCAAATAATAGCCCTGGGCTCAAAATTGGCCTATTTTTAGAATTGCGTGTTACTATTTTTAGAATTGCGTGTTTCTATTTTTAGAATTGCATGTTACTATTTATAGAATTGTGTGTTTCTATTTTTAGAATTGCGTGTTACTATTTTTAGAATTGCGTGTTTCTATTTATAGAATTGCTTTTTTCTATTTTAAAAAGTGTGTGTTTCTTATTATAGAATTGTGTGTTACTATTTATAGAAATGTGTGTTACTATTTTAGAATTGCGTGTTACTATTTATAGAATTGCGTGTTACTATTTTTAGAATTGCGTGTTTCTATTCATATATATATATATATATATATACACAAAATAGATAAACAAAACTAATGTGACAAGACAGACCGACTAAATTTATTAAAATGAAACGTTAAGATATGTTCAAACCTTTCTGTGTTTGCTTTTAGAAAAAGGAAAAAGTCGAGCTACCCACGCCCGGCGGTGGCTCTTGTTTATATTTTATAAATATAGATGGTGGTGGTCGTGTCTGCTCTGAAACTTCAGTATGCATGAAAGGATTTTAATTTTCTTTTACATATGAAACAACCATATATATATAGAGTGTGTCGCGAACAAGACTCTGGGGTTTCTACGAGTAAGGTCAAGGTCACTTTGGGGATTCAAACTTTGTCATTTTTTATACCCCCGCAGAACAAAATTGTAAGGGGAGTATACTGGAATGAGCTTGTCCGTCCGGCTGTCCGGCCGTCTGGCTTTCCGTATGAACCCAGAGGTACTTGTGTGACTTAGAGAACAATGGGTAAGAGAAAATTCTCTTTGATCCTATTCATTCCGTTTTTTCTTGTGTGTCTTTTTTTGAGCCTTGTGTGACTAAAAATGGCCAAAAAGATCAAAAGAAAAGTCACATAAGTACCATTTTGTGAGTACATCCGGCCGTCTGGCGTCCGTCGGTTTTTAGCTCACCTTGCACATAGTGCAGGTGAGCTTTTAGGATGGCCAATCAAAAGCGTCCGGCGTCCGGTGTCCGTCCACATTTTATTTAGACGACATCTTCTATAATACCACTTGACCAATATTAATGAAACTTGGCAGGAATACTCATTGTATGAAGCTCTATCAAGAGTGTTCAAAGAATGCCATTCCATGCTAAACTCTGGTTGCTATGGCAACTAAAAAAAAAACTTAAAAGTTCTTATACTTCAAAATGGAAAGGGCTAGAGCTTAGATATTTCTCACAAGGCATGAGCTTGTTGGTTTCTACAAAGTATAATCAGATTATGGTCTACAGTTGAAAATTGGTCTCTGTTTTGGGGGTTAAAGGTTTTTTTTATTGCAAGATTGTATAACTGTCTTTGTAGGGATAAATTGAGAGTGTATCTTGTATTTTTTGTCTCAACAGACATTGTTTTGAGGATTTTTTCTGTTAAAGCATTAGAAAGATGAAAATGTTGAATGTGAATTTTAATTCAAACAAAGTCAATCAGAATAGCCCCAATTTCAGAGATACAGTGTAGTTGATTACCCCATTCAATAATGGATTATTCCTTTAATTTTGTAACATCATCAGAAAGGAGACTGTGTCATTTCCGAAATAAAATGCAATGTATTTTGGTTCTTGACATTGACTTGCACATTTTATTGTGTAAGATATTGCACAAAGAAATGAAAGTGAACAAAAAAGGTTGTATTTTTTCACAAAAAATAGCTTATTAAGATAAAAGTTTAATTTACAGTGCGGATATTACTTAAATTCTTCCTTCCGGTTTGCGGGAAAATCATATATTTCAACATTGTGTACACCGGTCTTACTGAATCTGCTGAACGATTTATGACATAATATTTCATTCTGATTATAAACATACAATTCAAATCATTAAATAATAGATATCAATCAGTCCTGAGTCTTAGAAAACATCTGTATCAATCTGACCTATAAACTAAACTAAACTGGAATTAGGACAAAATGGCGGCCTTGAACAAGGAAATTGAGAAATTTTGTAACATAAACTCGTATTTCAAAACAAAGAAGTGAAGATGACAACAATTATCGGTGTGCTTCGTTGAAACAGGTATTTTGTTAACTATTTATGAAGTATTAAGGGATGACATTTAGTATTTATGTAAATATCACCTCCCGTGATATGATTTCTAAAATTATACATTTCGGCGATCTCCGAGGTCATTTTTCTGAATGATGTAAATCCGATGAGAAATCGGGAAGGGTGTGTGTGCATGCCTCATTAATTAGCGTGTGCACATTGCTTGATAATGCTTGATATATATTTTAAAATAAATTTGTCCATCTCAGACCAGTTTGTAAACGAATCAAAACAATTACAATACGGAGATTGCCGATGAAAAATTGAGCTAGAATATATAAGATCAGATTTGATTGGTCGTCGTAATTTTTACCAGCCAATGAAATCGTTTGTTGTATAGTCATTTGATGTCAAAATACATCTACAAATACAATGACAACAACAGTGCTGGTGTTAATACTAACAATCTGAAAAAGGGTGCAAAAAACAAATGGAGGTGGGAGTGGTTAGCGGAAAAGGACTCTAAAGGTGAAAAATGGGATGCTTGGTTGAAAAAACCAAATGCCATGGGCTTTTGTGAAGTCTGTTCCAAAACGATCAACTAGACAAATCGAACAGAAAAAGGTGCTTCTTAATCACGATGAGCTGAAGATGAGGTCCACTAAAAGAATCTTCGACCAAGTAAGATCATTTCTCTGTGTAGTTTAGCCACTATCTAGAGTAAACAATGAAAAGAGGTTTAGTTGTGCATTGTGTAGTTAATAAACAATGCACATTACCCCACCCTCTTTTTCTTCTGTCTTCCCCCAACTTTCATGTGGTCTGGGCAAGGGTTGGGGGTTGAATTAAAAAATGGCCTTGTGCAGGGGCAGGTCTGGAAATTTTTTTCCGGCTTTATATTATTTTAAGGATTAGAACACGATTTTCTTTATCTATGTTTTTTTAAGTTTGATTATCTCCTTGTTTCCAAACTAAATTGGCAATTTATGAGTGTGATATTTTATTTGATATGTTTTCATACATCTTTTATTTGAAAATTGTCTTTTTCAGGTACTGCCAGGCTCATCAAAAGCTGTGGACAAAAAGATTGAAAGTATGCAAGATCGCATTGCCAAACAAAGAGCAATCACAACTGCCTTTCTAAGTGAACATTGACTGCCATTTTCCATAGCAGGCGATCTCTAACATCTTGCCAAACGTTTAGCTGAAGACAAGCCTGCTCTTGAAAAAACTACTCTTTCTCCAACCAGTGCAATTTACATAACAACACATGGTGTAGCCAAATCTGTTAAGGATGGAGTGAAGTCAAAAGTGAAAGATAAGTTAATATCTTTGAATATGGATAAGGCAACTAACAAAAATCAATAACAAAGTACTGAATATAATCTTTCAGTACTTTAATGATGAAACTAGTCAAGTAGTAATGGATCATTTAGAATTGAGAATTCAAAATGTTTCCACATCTGAAGAAATTGTCAAGTCAGTTGAAAGTGTGCTGCATCAACAAGTGGAAGACAATGGAAAAGGATTAAATTTAAGATATGAATTTGAAAATAGTAAAAAGAATGAACATAATTTGTTATGTGGAATGTGTATAGATTGCTTAAATAGTATTGCTCAGTGAATTTGTGTAAATTTTAACATATCAGATTAATTACATCTGAAGATAAATAAAGCACTTGAGTATGTATTTGAGCCTTTTTTTGAACTTTTAAATTCACTAAATTGCAAAAGCTTCTGAGGGCCTCCAGCCCCCTGAACCCCTAGCCAGGGCGTTGCCCTGGACCCACCGTAGGGGCCCCCTGGCCCCCAACTTTTTCTTTCAGTATTTTCAGTTTCTGTAACTTTTACCCCTGCATGTACACATGTGTTTATCACCTCAATAAATGTAAGTGAAAATGGAACAATAATTATGGTAATTATCCATGGTGCTAGAAATACTTAATTATCTTTATCATCATGTTAACTAAGCAAGAAGCTTATAATTGCCTAACCTTACAATAGTTATCAATTTAAACTTGAAAATCTACCCTAAATGACTTCCCAAACAGTAATTTCTGAAAACATGAAAATGATTCGTGTAGAAAAATAACACAAGAAAAAACTGATTTGACTCATGAAAATTTTTGGCCAAACAGTCTGCCACGTGAAATTCTGACCTTCCTGAGATCCCTGCTGTTTTTAGCTCACCTGAGCACGAAGTGCTCAAAGGTGAGCTTTTGTCATCACTCTGCGTCCGTCGTGCGTCGTGCGTCCTTCAAAAAATGGCGTCAAACTTTTCAAACAACATCTCCTCCTAAACTACATGGCCAATTGCAACCAAACTTTACAGAAATGATCCTTAGGTTGACCCCTTTCAAAGTTGTTCAAAAATTTAAATTCCATTAAAAACTCTGGTTGCCATGGCAACCATTAAGAAAAACTTTAAAAATCTTCTTCTAAAAAACCATAAGAGCTAGAGCTTAGATATTTGGCATGAAACATCTTCTAATGAGTGCCTACCAAGTTTGTTCAAATCAAAGCCCTAGGGTCAAAATTGGCCCCGCCCCAGGGGGTCATTGATTTTCCCTATATGCATATAGTAAAAACTTAAAAAATCTTCTTTTAAAGAACTCAAAGAGCTAGAGCTAAGATATTCAGCATGAAACATGTTCTAATGGGTGTCTACCAAGTTTGTTCAAATAAAAGCCCTGGGGTCAAAATTGGCTCCGCCCCGGGGGTCATTGATTTTCCTTATATGTGTATAGCAAAAACTTAAAAAATCTTCTTTAAAAAAACCCAAATAGCTGGAGTTTAGCTATTAAGCATGAAACATCTTCTAGTGAGTGTCTACAAAGTTTGTTCAAATCAAAGCCCTAGGGCCAAATTGGCCCCGCCCCGGGGGTCATTGATTTTCCTTATATGACTGTGTATAGCAAAAACTTAAAAATATTCTTTGAAAAAACCCAGATAGCTAGTGTTTAGATATAAAGCATGAAACATCTTCTAGTGAGTGTCTACCAAGTTTGTTCAAATAAAAGCCCTGGGGTCAAAATTGGCCCCGCCCCAGGGTGTCTTTGATTTTCCCTATATGCATATAGTTAAAACTTAAAAAAATCTTCTTTTAAAGAACCCAAAGAGCTAGAGCTAAGATATTTAGCATGAAACATCTGCTAATGAGTGTCTACAAAGTTTGTTCAAATAAAAGCCCTGGGGTCAAAATTGGCCCCGCCCCGGGGGGTCATTGATTTTCCCTATATGCATATAGTAAAAACTTAAAAATCTTCTTTTAAAGAACCTTAAGAGCTAGAGCTAAGATATTAAGCATGAAACATCTTCTAGTGAGTGTCTACCAAGTTTGTTCAAATAAAAGCCATGGGGTCAAAATTGGCCCCGCCCCAGGGGGTCATTGATTTTCCCTATATGCATATAGTAAAAACTTAAAAATCTTCTTTTAAAGAACCCAAAGAGCTAGAGCTAAGATATTAAGCATGAAACATCTTCTAGTGAGTGTCTACCAAGTTTGTTCAAATTAAAGCCCTGTGGTCAAAATTGGCCCCACCCCGGGGGGTCATCGATTTTCCCTATATGCATATAGTAAAAACTTAAAAAATCTTCTTTTAAAGAACCTTAAGAGCTAGAGCTAAAATATTTGGCATGAAACATCTTCTAGTGCATGTCTACCAAGTTTGTTCAAATAAAAGCCCTGGGGTCAAAATTGACCCCGCCCCAGGGGGTCATAGATTTTCCCTATATGCATATAGTAAAAACTTAAAATTTCTTCTTTTAAAGAACCCAAAGAGCTAGAGCTAAGATATTTAGCATGAAACATCTTCTAATGAGTGTCTACCAAGTTTGTTCAAATAAAAGCCCTGGGGTCAAAATTGGCCCCGCCCCAGGGGGTCATTGATTTTCCCTATATGCATATAGTAAAAACTTAAAAAATCTTCTTTTAAAGAACTCAAAGAGCTAGAGCTAACATATTTATCATGAAACATGTTCTAATGGGTGTCTACCAAGTATGTTCAAATAAAAGCCCTGGGTCAAAACTGGCCCCGCCCGGGGGGGGGGGGTCATTGATTTTCCTTATATGTGTATAGCAAAAACTTAAAAATCTTCTTTTAAAAAACCCAATGAGCTAGGACTTAGATGTTTAGCATGAAACATCTTCTTATGGGTGTCTACCAAGTCTGTTCAAATAAACAAATAAAAGCCCTTGGGTAAAAACTAGCCCGGAGGTGTGGGGGGGGCCTATATACAGGTGAGCGACCTCAGGGCCATCATGGCCCTCTTGTTTAGATATATACATATTATATATATACACATATATATTTAATATTTATATATATATATAGATAGATAGATAGATAGATAGATAGATATATATATATATATATATATATATATATATATATATATATATATATATATATATATATATATATACATATATATATACATATTATGATATATATATATATTATATATATACACATATATATTTAATATTTATATATATATAAATATATATATATATATATAAATGTATATATATATATATATATAGATATACAACCAAGTTTGTTCAAATAAAAGCCCTGGGGTTTAAACTGGCTCCGCTCCAGGGGCCTATATACAGGTGAGCGACTTTGGGCCATCATGGCCCTCTTGTTTTTTTTTTTAATAACATTTTACATGATTTAATTTTATGATTAAACCTGTGTATAGAGCCACTCATGTGAACAGGAAGAAGTTTTTGTAGAAAGGGATGTCCTAATATGATAAACCATAGATGCTTGGGGGTTAGATCCTGTCCCCAACATGATACCCCTGAGTAAACACTTTTATCAGAAATTATTTTAATATTTAAACACTAATGGGATATCTGGTACAACTATAATACTGGTTTTCGAAAAAATTTACATAATCATATGCAAAAAAAATACTGCTTACCATCATGTTTTGAGACTTGATTCCGGGCAGGCAGGCGAATTGGTTGGGCCATTTTTGGTAACAGTTTTCTCAGCAACTACTCTACAGAACCTCATAATATTTTGTATACAGCATTAACACATTGTTCCATACCATGGGATTCGATTTCAGGTCTGTCACTCATCCACTTCATGTTTACTGACTTAGTTAAATTCATAATAATGGTCAATGGTAGGAATTTTTTCTAACAATTTTCTCAGCAACTACAGTCCGACCCCGGTTATTCGACAACCCTTTATTCGAATACCCGGCATTATCCGAAGTAGATCGGCGGTCCCGTTTTTATCTCTATATAAAACAATATAAATACGAGCGTATTATTCGAAATGCATTATCCGAATACCTCCTATTTTTCGAAGTAAAATTTCAGTCCCGATTATACAATTGTGAAAGCATTTCACACCTATTATTTGAAGCCAGCCTAATTTTTATTCGAAGCCAGACTAATTGGCGCAGATCCACTCGCTGACCAGATATCCACAGTCATGTGTGTAATAAGACAATCATGATAATAACTCTTTGTGTGCTCTTTAATCAATTTTAATTACCGAAATGAAAAACTATGCACTGTGTCCGATTTTGTTGAAGATGACAGCAATAATTTTTATACATTCCGTATATGTGAATTTGTTAAAACATCAAAACATTTTTTTCATTAATTTTTACGCTACATGAGAGCCTTAATTTATCCTAATCGAAATCGAGTTTAGCTGTAAATAGCGTAGTGACGACACGGCCATTATCAAGGCTTTGCGCGAAACGAAACGATACATAATGTAGAATAAAATGAAAGTATTTATGTCTTCAATGTCAATACAATAATTTTTTTACGCATCTTTTCTTTAATATTTATTTTTCTCAATTGATTACATGAAGCAAGTGTCTTGTAAACGGTAGTTTTGCGATGATTGGTCAAAGTGGAGTAGTTTTCGTCTATCACAATATTCCGATTTCGATTATTCGAACCCATCGATTATTCGAAGTAAATATTCAGTCCCAGGCACTTCGAATAAACGGGGTTGGACTGTACTTATCACAGCCTCTTGATATTTGGTATACAGCATCAACATTTAGTCACATACAATGGGATATGATTTCAGGTATGTGGCTCATCCACTTCCCGTTTGATGACTTAGTTAAATTTTTGGCATTAATTGTAAATGGAAGGAAATTTCCGTAACAGTTTTCTCAGCAACTACATAACACAGCCTCTTGATATTTGGTAATGTAACTGCATTGATATGTGGTCCCAAGTTCAGGTCTATCGCTTATCCACTTCCTGTTTACCGACTTAGTTAAATGTTCGAAATTAATGGTCAATGGTAGTACATTTTTAGCTCGACTATTCGATAAGTAGAGTTATTGTAGTCACCCGAGCGTCGGCGATTTTTGTCTTTGACCCATTTTTATTGAAGTATTATCCAAATTTGTACTTCGCCTTGTTAATTATGATGTCATTGTTAAAATTTTCATGATGTAAACACACTACAGGGAGTGTATTTTTTAGCAACCTATACTTTAAAGAAAAGAAAAAAAGAGGTATTTCTATACACTTGATTGCATTCCTGTTGCTGTTGGCCAAAAAAACTTTACATTTGACACTAACTAAATAACATTAAAGTATTTTATAAACATGTTGCTTGTTTTAAATAAGAAAAATCCAGTTAAAAACTATTCCTTAAGGTGAGCGATATAGGGCCATCATGGCCCTCTTGTTTTCTTGTCTGCCCAATAACTTAAGAATCCTTTTACCCACAGTCTTAATATTTGGCATGCAGGTTAGTCATGATTAGTAGATGAACCCTATTTATTTTGAGGTCACCAGGTCAAAGGTCAAGGAGACGGGCCTTGACTTGAAAAAGCTCGTCCGCCCAATAACTTAAGAATCCTTTGACCCACAGTCTACATATTTGGCATGGAGGTTTATCAGGACCATAAGGTGACCCCTATTGATTTTGAAGTCACTGGGTCAAAGGTCAAGGTCACAGGTGCCTTGACTAAAAAAGCTTGTCCGCTCAATTGCTTTGACTTTGGTCAACAGTCTTCATATTTGGTATTGAGGTTGTTTATGACTATTAGATGACGCCTTTTGTTTTTTAGGTGACTGTGTCAAAGGTCAAGGTCACAGGGATTTTACTATAATAAGCTTGTCTGCTCAAATGCTTAAGAATGCCTGTCCGCAGTGTATTGATTTTGACATTTTCACATTTGAAGCATGTAGAATACATTTCTTAGCAATGCACTGGCTTAGTAACCTCAGATTTTGCAGGGAGGTTGTCTTTGAGCTCTCAATGGGCACTGTTGATTCTGACAAAGTGGTATGCGGGGGTATTCATGCCATGACATTGGCAGTTCTAGTTATTTATGTTATAAAAATATAGAAGGTGGTGGTTGTGTCCGCTCTGAAACTTCAATATTCATGAAAGGATTGTAATTTTTCTTTCACATATGAATTGGCGATAGATGTATGGTGTGTCGCAAATAAGACTGGGTTCTACGACTAAGGTCAAGGTCGTCACTGTGGGGCTTCAAACTTTCATTTTTATGCCCCCGCCATATAATGGCTGGGGCATATAGTGTTACCCTGTTCCGTCATTCCGTCCTTTCGTCATTCCATCCTTTCATCATTCCATCCTTCCGTCATTCTGTCATTCCGTCATCATCAATTTCCGTTCATTATCCCCCGCCGATGGAATCGGGAGGGGGATATACTTTTGGCGTTGTCCGTCCGTCCGTCCATCAGTCCGTCAGAATTTCGTTTCCGGAGTAGTTCTCTGCAACTACTGGCTGGAATTCAACGAAACTTTATTGGAATCATCAATATGAAGAGGAGATGCGCATATCGTCGGCTTGTTCCGGTCAGACCCTTTAACTCAGAGTTATGGCCCTTGATTAGTTATGTAGTATGCATATAGAGTAAAAATCTTTCCGCACTACCTGTCTGCAACTACTGGCTGGAATTCAACGAAACTTTATGGGAACCTTCAGTACCAAGAGGAGATGTGCATATCGTCGGCTTGTTTCGGTCAGACACTTTAACTCAGAGTTATGGCCCTTGATTAGTTATGCAGTATACATATAGAAAAATATTTGTTTCCTCGCTACTTCTCTGCTACTACTGGCTGGAATTCAATGAAACTTTATGGGATACTAAGAGGAGATATGCGTATAGTCGCTTTGTTCCAGTCAGATACTTATAACTCAGATTTATGGCCCTTGATTAGTTATGCAGTATGCATACATCTCATTGGCATTTCCAGATTTTACTATTTAACACAAAGTTATGGCTCTGTTATTGCCCTGAATATTTATCAAGTTGAAAGAATATTACTGTTTATGCCATGATTAATATATAAATAAAGCCTTATGTCTTCAGTTGTTGTGTTAATAATAACCAGTACTCGGCGGGGGATATAAATTCAACGAATTTGCTTGTTGTGTTAATAATAACCAGTACTCGGCGGGGGATATAAATTCAACGAATTTGCTTGTTATCTTAGTAATGGTTGCACATATTCAACTCAAATTTGGCATATGGATATGTCATGGTTAGATGATTTTTGGTAGAGTTATGCCCCTTTTACTTTGAAAATAATATGAAATTTTCAGTTTTCGTTCATAATCTCCCCAACGGTATTACACATTCAACTCAAACTTGACAAATGGATATGTCATGAGAAAATAAAGGTCAAGTTCGAATTTGGTCATGGTTCAATGATTTTTGGCAGAGTTATGCCCCTTTTACTTTGAAAATAATATGAAATTTTCAGTTTCCGTTCATTATCTCCCCAATGGTATTACACTTTCAACTCAAACTTGACATATGGATATTCAAAGGTATGCGCAGGCCAAGTTTGAATTGGGTCA